CAGGCATGCAATGCACATAGGGAAGGCCGTGTACAACGTGGGCAACACACAGGGGGATGCATCGATCATCTCTGCAATACATATGGGGCAAATCTGCATATCCCATGTCCTTGGAGGGAGTCAATGTGACCATATTCAATACAGGTGGAGAGGATCCCACTGTGGTTGTACCTGAAGGTACAACCATTACAATGCATTACAGACACAGTAATACTCTATTCTCCCCCCCCCCCCCAACACTGCATTGCAGACACAGTGATACTGGATCCCCCCGCCCTTGGCCAGAAGGGCTATTTTCAGACCCCATCATGCAGCAAACCTGGCAGGGGAACATGCTAAATGCAGGCAAACTCAGCAATGTGAGCCTGAGGCTGGCTGGCTGGACATCCCAGACCATTCCATTGCTACCCCAGAGAGGCACCAGTGGAATCTCTGGCATTCCAATTAAAACGCATTTCATTGCAAACTGCGGGGCTCTTTTTCCTTCCCTCCTCCTATATAGTGCACATGCCTGGATCTATGGGTCCCTGGGGACTTGGTGTGCTGGGTTTACTCTACCAATTGTTGCATTCCAGAAAAAAAAAAACCCATCCTAAATTCTTGCTGGAGGCTGAGCCAATGATTAATTTGCTGAGTTCCTAAAGCATGTGTGTACGTGTGTGCAGACACACAAAGATCCCAAAGCAACAGTAATACAAAACTCTGATCCCGTAAGGTGCCGAGATCCCCACATGTTGCAGGCTCATGCCCATAAGCAGAAAATGATCGTAAAACCATAGGAAAAAATGTATAGATGAGGATACAGGGCAAACCCATCTGCTGGTTGGGGACATTATAATGAATGTTTACAGGCCGGGAATAGATCATTTGGGGAGTTTGGGGTGAGTTTCCTTTAAGTCATCCCCTGTGGCTGACTTCGGCTTGGAGTCGGCTAGCTGATCTGCTCATGCTCACGCCAGTACTTCATGCAGCTCCTTCAGAACGCACGGGCCCAAGCACTTCAAAATCTGACCCTTCTGTTCAGGGGCCAAATAAGAGCTGAGCCCTTTGAAAGTCTGGCCTCCCGAATCTTCCTGAGATGAGACAAAAGAGACGTTGAGGCTAGGAAATTACAAAGGAATATGGGGGCTGCAGTTAGCTAGGCCCAGACCTCTATAGCTCTTGGACCTTTTTCGCTCAAGGGTCCTTAGGCTTCTAACTCCCACAGGAGTTAGGCACCTAAATCTCTTTGAAGATCTGGAGCATAGCTTCTTTTCTGGTTAGTGAATTGCCTGTGGACCAATCTGGGTTGCTGTGAATAGTGCTTGGTTGGTCCTAAATCTATGCTGAAGAATTGCAACGACTTTTTTTCAGTCTATCGGTCATTCTTCAAACATTCAATAATGGGGGAGTCTGGTTTAGCACCTTAATTGCATAGTATTGTTGCTGCACCTTGATGGAGACCTCGATTCACAAAACTTCCTGTCACTGAGGAAAGCATTCAGGCATATACTTGCTGACCAGAGTGGGGATGGATTTAAGCAGGCACTTAAGTGCTTTCCCGGATGATGGAAAGTTTATAAACAGGTGAATGATGAATGCCGAGCAACTGAACATTCACGGCAGATTGTCAGACCAATCTTCGTTCAGCCTAAAACGTGTGACATTTGGAAGAATAGGGAATGTTTGCACGAGTACTTGGCTGTTGGCTGACTGTGAGCAGTGGGCAGGGGACAGTTTGCAGCAGTTCCGTTGTGATTTATTTCTTTGCAGTCATGCCCACTACATGCTAGGGACTGTCCGAACATTTAAGGCCAGGCCCCACCCCAAGGAGCTCACCGTCTAGATGGGGAAGTCGGTGGAAAGGGGAATAAATTGGCAATTTATTGGCTGCACTTGCAAGGCCCAACAGGACAGCTGTGCTCAGCTTGTCACTTTAGCTGTAACATTATAACTTTTGAACATGGCATCCGATTGAGTCCAAAATTTAAGGGAATATTTTAAGCATCAGTGGACGGAACCTTAATGATTCTCCCCTAAGAGGGGAGACAGGGAGCCCCTGCCATCTGTTTAGCAGAGCCACAACTTCAAGCACCTTGCACTTGTCTATAGATCACTATGAAGTGGGAAGTTGGGGGGGACATACCGAGCCTACGGCATGGCGAGGAGAATGGGGGACTCTGGCACAGCGGGAGGGGAAAGAGGGGCACACAGAGCCCCTGTTATGGTGAGGAGAGCATGCGAGAACATGGGACCCTGGTATGGGGGAAGGAGGGAATGGCAGGACAGACAGAAACCCTGACACTGGGGGCACTGAGAGATCCTGGGGGAATCTGCTATAGGGGAGAAAGGGGGGACAACAGTGAGGACAAATTCAAAGTTGGCCTCGTTCACTATTTCTGTGAACCCAAGGAAACAGTGGGATGACCCTATCGTGCAGTTCAGCACCAACTAGTCCGATGTTGGGCCATGAGTGGGCAGGACTTGACTTGTGGGTGGATCTTAGAAGCACGTCACAAGCCTGATAGACCAGCCAATTGCTTGGTGTATGTGTCGCAAGGCTACCCGTAAAAACCAAAAAAAAAAATTCCAGGAAAGGTCAACCCACCCTGCGGGCTTTTAATCAGGGAGCAGAAAAAAAAAATGATTGCAACAAAATCTCCTGAGCAAGTTCCTCTCTGGGTTTTTGACTTATGCGGTGTTGCTATCAGCAGGAAACTCCTGCATGCTAGATGATGTGGATCTGTTGATAAGGAGCTGGGTGATGCAGGCTAAATGAGTCTGTAGCATCCTGTTTAAATAATGTTGTTATAGGCCATTTCCAGTGGTCGCAAACAAGACCTGGATTTTGTCGGTGCATTTTTTGTCCTTTTTTGGTGTAAATTCCTAGGAACAGTAATGCACACAGCAGATCTGATTCCAGTGGCCAGATCCTGCTCTTTGTAAAGGGGATTTTCACCCAGGCATAAAAAGAGAGAGGCTCGATCTGCTCCGTCTCACTCAAGCTGGTGTAAACCAGAGGTAACTCTGTTGGCCTGGTTCTCCATTGCCCTTGGGTAACCATGTACAGCCACTTCATACTGATCTAAATGGGGGTGAAGCAGTGTAAAACGGGCGTAGGCGAAAGCAGAATCAGGCACAGCACGTTTATATAAAAACCCACGTCCATGGCCACGATTTGCTGTGATCCTGCTCTACGTTAAGGAGCCATTGACCAGTCTAGTACATGGATGGATCTGTAAGGCAAAAGGAAGATGCCGCAGGAAGTTGCATGGGGAGGCAGCAGGGTGCAGCCCTGGGCGTTGGGAAATCCAGGTTCTGTTTCCAGCTCCACCACTAACTCATTGTGTGACCTTCAGCAAATCACTTCACCTCCCTCTGCCTCTGTTTGTAAAATGGAGATAGCAATGGGCTCCTCTCCTGAACACAGCACTAAGTAGTCGTATTCCTGGGTAGGTGATGCACTGAAACAGGATTGACCCAGTCCATTGTATGGCCCTCATGGTGTAAAGCCAATGTCTTGACCACTCATGGATCATTAAAGATCTTACGACAGATTTTTTGTAAGAGTCAGGGCATTAGCCCTGGCCAAATCCTCCCTTGCTAATTACACTCTGATACCTTCAAATCTTTCCAAACTGGTCAGGCAAGTCCCCTGGGGGGTCATTTTGCAGCCATGTGCTGCAGCATCAGGTCCCCCTCCCCCAAATCTGTAATAAGAAAAGATTGTAATGGGTTGGAAGCAAGGTTTATTGTAGGATCTGGATGCAAAGGAGATATATGATGTTTTTCACAGGAATTGAACACTTTGAGCACAAATAAGGCCATGCATGAGCTGTGGACAGCAGGGCTTTCCCTGTCTCCTGACATCTCACTTTGGGCAAAAGTCTGAGATTTTGCAGCACTCAGGAGATAAAATCGCTTTACATTTTATTCAATATATTACATTTGAACATATAAATCACTATAGAATGGGGCCCAAAGCTGGTTTTCTGGGCATTGTTTAAACTGATGTTACAGATGAGACCAAACTGATCCCCGAGATCTGAACAGCCTTAAGCCTTGGAGACATTTTTGGATCCGGGTCAGAACTTTAGGGACTGGCTTCTTCTTTAGCTGAAAGAGCCCTGTGGTGCTGCATCCCGGGAAGGAAGGAGGGAGAAGAATGTGGCAGGGTATAATGGGAACTATTTTTCTGCCTTAAATATAGTGATGGCTACCAGGTGAGCGTCACAAGAGAGGTGACAAGAGGAAGGTATTTCAGGCCCCCATTCAACAAGGCACTTAAAGCACGTGCCTGTCTTTAAGCATGTGAGTCCTCCTGTTCCGCTGGGGTTTAGGAGAGCCAGGAAATGTGCTCTCTCTTATCCTTATACTCCTGAGACCGAGAGAAAAGCTCCTCAGGGGCTCATTAGCACATGAAATCCATGATATTGCTGTACTCCAATCAGAGCTACTTTGGATACACAAAGACAGACATGGATTTCATTAATATATGCCTACGAGGCACTGATTTCAATAAGGGTTGGTCACAGCACTGTGCTAATGGGGCAGTTTATGTCCCAGCTCCAGGAACCACTGAGCTGTGGGAGATGCCCAAAGAGGGGGAGAAAGGTTTTTGGCTGCACTGACAACCTGCCAGGAGGCTGTGGGCCACAGCTGGGGCTCAGTCCCGCTGCGCCCCATTGAAAGCGGTTGTAAAACTGCCCATGGACTGCAGTGGGAGCACGCTCAGGCCCTTAATTTGCCAATATCTGTTCAACAAGGGACCTGCCCCCGCGAGTCATTGAGCGCCCTCAGCTCCAGGCGAAGTCAAGGGGAACTGAGGGTGCTCAGAATATCTCCGGGCTGAGCCCTGGCTCTGTTAATCAAAAACAAACACACACAGCCACAATATTTTGCTCATGCTTGTATCTTCCTTGATAGCTGGGCAGCTGAAACCACTAGCAATAGAGCCCCGCAGCTGTTCAGCGCTGTCCTTGCACTTGTGTGACAGCAGCAGGGCAGCTGTGGGCAGCATTAGCGGGTGGGGTGTCCCCGCTCTAGACAGTTCCGGATGTGGATAAACCAGAGAGGGACCCCGAACAAAACGTTGCTTCCAAACAGCCCCCCAAAGTCTGGGCGAGTTCAGATGCGGCTCTAAAATGTGGCTTACGTTGCGTCCCTTACAGACCTGGAGTGTCCCTCTGGGCTTCTCCGTCTGTAACAGACAAGGGAGTGTCAGGTGGGCCCCTCCAGTGGCTGGGAAGTCCGGGCTGCCTTTAGGGAGACCTGGGGTCTTATTCTGCCCCGCCTTGCACCTTGTGTTGTTATTTCCACTTGTGCAAAATGCGTGGGACAAGACACCCCGTCAGAACGGCCACGTTGCACGGCCAGTGTGCACAGGTGGAAAAGCCGCCACAGGAGACAAGGCCGGGGCCGGGCCCAGCGGCTCAGACCCATCTTTCGCAGGCTTGCTTGGAATAAGAGGATGTGACTCCCCTTCCCAGGGAAGCGAATGCACCCGAAGTACCTAAGGGTGGAAGATACGGCAGGGAGTATCTATGAGCTAACAGGGCGTCTGGGATCTGCCGCAGCGAGGTGGGGTGGGGACGCTAACCCGGACTTAACCCAGTACCGTCCTTTGCAGAATACAAGAAACACGGTGCACGCTGCACCCGTCGGGGAATTCCTGGCTGCTGTCGCCAGGGGAGCTGTGGGCGGGGAGCCCTGCTGGTGCCAAATTCACTGGAGAAGCTCAGGTCTGAGCAGAGCCCAGATTCCTTCATGCTGGGCTGTGTCAGGGATGGAGGAGGGGGCAGGAACTCACCTCTCCAGGCATGGGGAGCAGTGAGATTAAGCTGGCCAGGGCTGGCTTGCCAGCTGGTGGGGATGGAGTAGCTGGACGCGCTGGGGAAATGAGGGAGACCCACTGAAAGAGGGGGTGTTTCTTGCCCTTCTGCGCCTGCCTCTGCGGGCGGGAGAGGGTGGATCAGGACAACCTAGGAAATGTCAAGATAGCACTAGACCCCGAGTGGCTGCTTGCACCAAATTCCTGCCTGGTGTAAACAAATGAAAGTAAATCAGAAAGCCCCCGGGCCAACCTCCAGCAAAGAGCCTCGCCTCGCTCTAAATGACGACCAGTAAAGGTCCGGTGCGCGTGATGGCCAGAACTCCACCGCAGGAGGGAGAAATGACACCTGCAGCCCCAGGGGTTTCAGCACCAGGGTCGGGTGGCAGGCTGTCCCCTGAGGACGCTCCACTGGGGTAGAGAGCAGCTTTAGTTCTCAATAGGATGCTAAATTAGTGCATCCCCCAGTGGCTTCGGCTGCACCCCCTGAATGAGCACAGAGCGTTCATCACAGCCCAGTTCCAGTCACTGCGCTGCTGCCCGGCTCCTGGTGATTCCAGGGTGCATACTGTGTTATTTTACACATGCCCACAGACAGACATGCGTGCACACACACTCACCCACGTGCACATGCACACACACTCGCCCGTGTGCAAAAGGATCCCAAAGGCTAAACTGAGACTCTTGCTTTTCACAGGGTCCTGAGGTGGCGTTCAGCGTCAACGCCCCACTCTTGTGAACAGGGCAGGGCGCAGGCTGCTGCTCATGTTCCCGTCTGGCACACGAGACAGGCTGGCGTCAGCTCACGGACCCAGCGGGTATTTTTATAAATGGGCTAGGAGAATTTTTTTTTAATTAAAAAAAAAAACACCTCCAAAAAAACAACTCCGAGGACACTGGAGAGCGACTGCGAAAGACGTGCCGGGGCAACTGGCAGCTGCTCAGTGGGACTTTTCTGCAGCAGGTTGGAATGGTCCCTGGGGAGTGGTGGCCAATTAAAATCCTCCTTCCGCAACGGGGCTGGACTTGGAGGGAAAAACCGGTTTGTTATAGAGTTGCGCAAAGAGCCCTGGCCCCCTCCCTGCACGCAGCATAAACTCAGTGACCTTGAACCTCTTCGGCTTCTCTGCTGCTTCGGAGCCTGAGCGAGTCAGAAACCCGATCGCCGCGCCCTCGGGCCTGCTCCCCGCAGTTAATCATCTTGTTGGGGTTTTTCTAGGGAGCTTCTCAGCTTCTTTAGTGTCTTTTTAATCCTCATGGCTGTGAGCCGAGAAGAGGGGTTCTGGTACCAGCATTCCTTCATGATCTTAGCCAGGGCGGACAAAATCTGGGTGGGGCCGAGAAGGAGAGAGAAAATTACTATCAGAGATCCAGGGCCAGATCCTCCACTGGTGTAAATCAGCAGTGTTTCATTGACTTCTGTGGAGCTACGCCCAATTACACCAGCAACAGATCTGGCTCCCCAATATTAACCAGTGACCCCCCCAGCAGAATGCTGCTTTGTCTCCCCCTATTGGCAGGCCCCATAAAGAAAAGTCATGAGCAAGAACGGCTGAGCAGGAGAAGCTTGACCAGGTGGGTGACGTAAGAGCTTTTCCTGGAAGCCTGTCATTCAAAAGCTGTAATATTTGGGCAACTTCTCTGACTCTCCATTTTCCCATCTGTGAAATAGGGATGATAAAACGTAGAGACCTTTTAAGAAGAGCTTTAGGTCTCCTGGCAAAAGGCCCCTCTATTGGCAAACACTTATCCACATGCTGGACACTAATACCATCAGTTCGACCCAGGACTGCTTGCAGTAATAAAGTTAAACCGGTGTGTAAGTGTTTGCAGGATCCCCTGCTCATGGATCAGGTGAAGGCCATTTATTTAAACATTTGGAAGTCAAATCCTACTGAGGAAAATAGAGAGGAACACAAACTCTGGCAAATCAAGCGTAAAAGTATAATTAGGCCAAAAAAGAATTCCAAGTGCAACCAGCAAACAACACAAAAGCTAAGAGCAATTTTTTTTAAGTACATCAGAAGCAGGAAGCCTGCCAAACAATCAGTGGGGCCACTGATCAAGGTGCTAAAGGAGCCCTCAAGGAAGACAAGGTCATTGCAGAGAAACTAATTGAATTCTTTGCATCCGTCTTCACTGCAGAGGACGTGCGGGAGATTCCCACACCTGAGCCATTCTTTTTAGGTGAGAAATCTGAGGAACTGACCCAGATTGAGTTGTCAATGGAGGAGGTTTTGGAACAAATTGATACGTTAAACAGTAATAAGTCACCAGGACTAGATGGGATTCACCCAAGAGTTCTGAAGGAACTCAGATATGAAATTGCAGAACTACTAACTGGGGGATGTAACCTAATGCTTAAATCATCCTCTGTACCAGTTGACTGGAGGATACCTAATGTAATGCCGATTTTTAAAAAGGCTCCAGAGGGGATCCTGGCAATTACAGGCCAGTAAAGCCTAACTTCAGTACTGGCAAATTGGTAGAAACTACAGTAAAGAACAGAATGATCAGACACATAGATGAACGTAATATGTTGAGGAAGAGTCAACCCTGCTTTTCTAAAGGAAATCGTGTCTCACCAATCTATTAGAATTCTTTGAGAAGGCCAATAAACACAGGTACAAGGGGGATCCAGTGGACAGAGTGTACTTGGACTTTCAGAAAACCTTTGACAAAGTCCCTCATCAAAGGCTCTTAAGCAAAGTAAGCTGTCATGGGATAAGAGGGAAGGTCCTCTCATGGATCAGTAACTGGTTAAAAGATAGGAAACAAAGGGTAGGAATAAATGGCCAGTTTTCACAGTGCAGAGAGGCAAATAGTGGGGTTCCCAAGGATCTGTACTGATACCAATAATATTCAACATATTCATAAATGATCTGGAAAAAAGGGGTATACAGTTAGGTGGCAAAGTCTGCAGACAATACAAAATTACTCAAGATAGTTAAGTCCAAAGCAGACTGCAAAGAGCTACAAAGGGATCTCACAAAACTGGGTGACTGGGCAACAAAATGGCAGATGAAATTCAATGTTGATAAATGCAAAGTAACGCACATTGGAAAACACAATCCAAACTATACATACAAAATGATGGGGTCTAATTTAGCTGTTACCACTCCAGAAAGATCTTGGAGTCATTGGGGATAGTTCTCTGAAAACATCCACTCAATGTGAAGCGACAGTCCAAAAAGCTAACAGAATATTAGGAAAGGGATAGATAATAAGACAGAAAATATCACAAATCCACTATACAAATCCATGGAACGCCCACCCCTTGAATACTGAGATCTGGTCACCCCATCTCAAAAAAGATATATTAAAATTGGAAAAAATATGGAGAAGGGCAACAAAAATAATTAGGGGATGGAACAACTTCCATATGAGGAGAGGTTAAAAACACTGGGACTGTTCAGCTTAGAAAAGAGACGACGAAGGGGGGAACATGATAAAGGTCTAAAAAAACATGACTGGTGTGGAGAAAGTGACTAGGGAAGGGTTATTTATTTCTTCACATAACACATGAACCAGGAGTTACCCAATGAAATTAATAGGCAGCAGGTTTAAAGCAAACAGAAGGAAATACTTCTTCACACAGCACACAGTCAACCTGTGGAACTCATTGCCAGAGGATGTGGTGAAGGCCAAAAGTATTACTGGGTTCAAAAAAGAACTAGATCAGTTCATGGAGGATAGGTCCATCATTGGTTATTAGCCAGGCTGGGCAGGGACACAGCCACATGCTGTGGGTGTCCCTAAACCTCTGACTGCCAGAAGCTGGGACTGAACAACAGGGGATGGATCACTTGATAATTGCCGGGTTCTGTTCATTCCCTCTGAAGCGCCTGGCATCGGCCACTGTCAGAAGACAGGATCCTGGGCTAGATGGACCTTTGGTCTGACCCAGTCTGGCCGTTCTTGTGTTCTTATTTATGGATGTATGGGTTTATACAGCAGTTGAGTTACAGAAGACTCCACTGGAGTGGATCTGCGCTCTCTGCCGCACTTACCGAGTCAGAGTACAGCCGGTTGGGGACACTGGGCGTCTGCTGGTCAGTGCAAACCACCTTCTTCATATCCTCGAAGCTGGGGTCACTTGGCACCATGTCAAAGAAAGGAGGCCTGTAGTCCTCCACTGTCCCTGCCGGAGGAAGAGAGGGCAGCACGTGAGGAAAGCTGGCTTGGTCACGGGGTCATGCAGCACAAAATCAGCGATATGCACCAATGACCGTAACTCATCTGCAGCCAGAGGACAAACAGCAGGAGCATGCACCACTCAGGCACATGTGCATGCATGTGTGTGTGTGTGTGCGCGTGTGCACGTTTGCACCACTGCCCTCTGCTGGATGGACCCGGACCTGCTGAGTGCTTGTTTATAAGGAGATGAGCCTGTCACTATACTCGGGACGTGAAGAACCCCTAGTAGCTCCAGTCTCAAACAACAGACTCTCATTAATCACATGTATTATGGCAGTGCCTGAGGCCCAATCAAAACTGGGGCCCCTTTGTGCTAGGTGCTGTACAGCGTATAGACAGCCGTGTCTCTGGAGGAGCGGAAGAACAGGGGTGAACTGCTCACACGGATGCCAATGGAAGTTTTGCCATTGATATCAGTGGGGCCAGGATGTCACCCCAGGGATCCTTTCCCCGGCTGTACTGACAGTGGTATGTGTGGATGTAGGACCCTCCCCATGGTATGAACATGTATGAACATGGGTGGGCATAGCCAGTCAATGGGGCACTAACACCGAGCATGCTATACACCCTGGATGGCACGAAACGTGACGGGGGTATGTGACATGAGCAGGCGTGGCACTGATACGCAGCGCAACGGGATGTGTGACACGAACGTGTTCACACACCGGGCACAGTGACCCACAAACTACACCGCCCTCACTCCAGATTCACGCTGGCATAGCTCAGACCAGGTTCAGCCTGTGCTGCTTGCGTTGCCAAATCAGACCCTGGGTGGAACCCTACCCAGTGCTTCAGAGGAAGATGCACCAAGCCTGCAGTGAACCCCTCAGGGCTGCTCATAGGGAGGGAACCCCTCCCCCCCGACCCCGGGTCTCCCTTTGGCACTGGTTGCAATTGCAGGAAACCAGGGGCCAGTTCAGATCACCTGGGATCCTTGTCTTAGACGCAGCCCCAACCGCCACCTCGTGGTGAACTGGAGGCCAGGCAGCTGCTCACCGCAGACAGGCCAGCAGCTAGCCCTGGCTAATCCATATTTAGTGCCTCCGTATGTCTTTGTGACAGAGATTTAACCCTTTTGGGCTGCCAAAGCCCTTCCAGTGTCCCATCAGCCACTGCAGTGGGAAGTTCCTATCTGGCCCCTCACGAGCCTCCGCCACCCTCGGGGCAGAGGGTGTAACCCCCACGTCACCCTGCCCCCCTGGATGCAGTGCAGGGTGGGGAGTTTCCCCGGCACTGAGTGTCTGCTGGGAGAGAGGCCTTTGGCCCTCAAGGGTTAATGGACAGCCAAGGCAAGGGCACTGTTGGGTGAGTTAAGTGAAGTGTTTAATCTGGGAGCCGTAAATGAGATTAGCCCGGCCAGACTGCGCCGTGGGGGAGCTGCCACCTTGCCCCCAACTTCCCCATTTAATGGACTTTCCTGCTGGTGAAAGGTGCCAGTTGGACACCCAGGAGACCGCAGGCCTCTGGGTGTCCACCTGGGTCTACTTCCCCCCCCGCCTGTGTCCCTTACCCCTGCCCTGAGGGAAAGATGGACTCTGTAGCACTCATTCCGGCCTGGGCCCGTCTGCTGAGGCCGCCACAATGAGTGTGAGTGTGTGTGTGTGGGGGGGGGGGGGCATTCCATTGCCAGGGCGGCCTGGCCACTGGGACACGGACTGAAGACACCACACCTGGGGCCAGGCTCACTGTGCGCGGCGCCCCAAGCTGCCAGAGGGCGAGAGGCTAAGCTAAGCCCTCCCCCCACATTCTGACACCGCTATTGCAGGGGCAGGGGAGGTGAATTCCACCTCCCAAAGCCCTGGAGAAGGAGTCTGCATCTGGTCCATTTGCTCTTGGGTCATTGCCCCACTTCGTTCAGCCCCATTGCCCTCCCCCAGAAAGCATGTCCTCCCCGCCATCCCCATCCCACAACAGCTGCTTCTGCCCAAAGCCAGCACTGACCAAGCCCTGGCCGTGGCAGGCCATGGGGGAAACACGCTGCTTTAGCCAGCCCATGCTCCGACTGGCCAGGTTCCAAGCAGTTCTCTGATGCTGCTTGTTTTCTAATCAGTGCTGAACAAACAAAGCGCTGATTGAGTCTAATGGGCCCTTTAATCAGGGAGCCGGGCGCTGACACTAGATTACAGTGTTTATAATTTACAGCTAATCTTCGGGCAAAAAACACCCAGAGCAGCCGAAAACCTTCACAGGAACAGCCCGGAGCAGCGTTGATTTCTGCACTGGGAGCCTCGCTAACTCACGGGAGGACGCGGCTCTCACTCCAGCCTGCCGCTCGCTCAGCCTCTCGGCCGCGGCCACAGGCTGTGCCACGCTCCTAAACTGACCGATTTACCCAGCTGCCATCTGTTGCAAAACTCAGGACATGCGATACTGCCGACTTCCTATTAAAACGGGCAGTCCCAGCTTCAGCCCGTCCAGTCAGAGCCCCGGTTCTTTCTCTGCAGGTTAGGATGCATTATCTATATTGAGGTCGTACGAGGAGCCCCAGTCATGGCCCAGGAGACCAATGTGCTGGGTGCTGTACAAACAGAACAAGGAGGCCGTCTGTGCCCCAAAGAGTTCACAGTCTGGGTATAAGACAGTGAATATAGAAGGTTAGCAGAATAGATAGGACCCTCTCAGGTGTCTGCGGATATCAAGATATTCTGTGCACACATACAGACCAGGGACCCCAGGGCAGTCTCCGGGTACTATAAAAGGACAGACAGATGTGTGCATATCTATAGAGAAGGGTCCTTGTATGACATCCACATTTGTGTGTCTGTGCATGTGGACAGAGAATTAGGAGCACGGCATCTCACTGCCCAAAGCCCCCCGACTGCCCCTTACCGTTAACAACCGTCCTCCTGGTGATTTCCCAGAGCACCAGACCATATGCCCAGATATCTGTCTGCTTATAGGATTCGAAGTAGTCGGTACGGATTTGTTCGTCCAGGACCTCGGGGGCCATGTAGCGTTTGGTGCCAACCCGAGGGTTGTTCCCGATGTCCAGGTAGTCGCTGCCCTGGGAATGCATGACCGCCAGCCCTGAAAGGAAGCAGCATCACACAGGCTGAGCTGGAGGACATGGGGGCCTGGGTTTCACTCCTCTCTCTATGAGGAAATCTGGGCCTGGCGGAGTTTTCTGCTTACAGCCCAGGGAAATCCACCTTGGATCAGTACAGCCTGCGTGTACCTCTGTCTCCCATGGCGATTTGTTCTTTCTTTCCTTCCCTGGCTTATCCCCCTCACCTCCCTTCTGCTGATCAGTGGGGCTGCGAAGTGGGGGGAATATTTATTGTCACCTGGGGGCTGACACCTCCTGAAACACCCCCATTTTGTTCTGGGGAAGAAAAAATACCCCGGAGTTGACCACACTGGGATTTCAACCCATGACTCCAGGGAATTAAATATTTAAGCTCCGATGAGCAGACCATCCCCTCCACTGGCAGAGGAAACAGCCTTTGCTTTCATCACCCCCTCGAGATGCACCTGCCCTTTCGCCACACGGCGCGCAGGTGAAAGGGACTCCAGACAGCGGTTCGGTGCAGATGGGACAAAGGTCTGATCTGGTCAGTTCCTCTGTTCCCCAAGCCAGATGAGCCACAGAGCTGGGTCACAGCCCTGGCGCGATCCCCCTTCCTCACCCAGGTCTGCGATGCAGCACTCAAGGTTGTTCTTCAGGAGGATGTTCCTGCTCTTCAGGTCCCGGTGAGCGATGGCTGGTTTCCCCTGGGTCCCGAAGATCTCCACGTGCAAGTGGAGCAGGCCGCAGATGATGGAGCAGGCCAGCCTCAGGCAGGTCTGTGTGTCCAGCGCTGTCCTCTGCAGGTAGTCGTAGAGCGAGCCGTTCTCGTGGTAGTGAGTGATGAGCCAGAGCTGGGTGCTGGAGTTCCTGGACGTCATGTCAGAGGCGATGAAGCCTAGAGGAGGGCAAAGCAGAAGGGGCCATGGAACAGAGGTGCACCAGCAGGCCGGGCGCCACATAAACACCCTCGTGGGCTGCTACTCACCCAGGATATTGTCATGCCTGAGAAGCACCGTGTTGTAGATCTCCGTCTCGCGGAACCACGACTGCTCGTCCCGGGAGGAGAAGATCTTCACGGCCACGTTCTCCCCGTGCCACACGCCGCGCCACACCTCCCCGTAGCGCCCTTTCCCTGCCATGACACGGACACGGCGTCACGCTGCCCTGCCGGTGCTGAGCGAGCCCTGGGGACGGGCTCACGTGGGGCACACCTGCCCCCGCTGGGCCACGGCGGGATAGAAGCCCAGGCCACTGCTGCCTACGCGGGAGGTTTAGCGACCGCAGCCACCCCTAGGATAAGGTTTTGTGTTCTTTGTGGATCAATGACTAGAGGCAACCTGGTCCCATGGCTGAGCCAGTGCACTGCACCCTCTGACGGCCACTGGGCAACCCAGCAGTGGCAGGCAATTTGCCAGGACTTTTCTTTGGCTTAATAGGGTCTAGTCTGGCCAATTAGGGGCTAGGACAGGTGACTTCATGCCCAGGCCTGGCCTATACAGTCATGGGGATAAGCTGTGTACCTCAGTGCCCAGGCCTGTCTGCTAAGGGAAAAGCCGGGTCCCCCAGGGCCAGGCCTGGTCTGTAGGGCTAGGGGTCAGG